ATTGACTTGTCTATGAACTGTATAGGCAACCAAGTAGTCCTTTACCGCGGACACGGCTATTCGAATAGTTTTATACCCTGCAGGGGTGTACTTCTTCATACACGCTTTCACCACTTACCGCCGCTTACACGACATGTACTCGGCAACCTTCAAGTGGAAGCCCAGCGAGGGTGTCGGCCACGGCCTACCTAAACACTTAAGTCTCTAGTCCAAGTTTATCGCCTATCCAGGTTCCATCCGCAGGGAGTCCGGCCGAGGTTTCCACATACGGCCCCGAACGATGTGAACAGGGTCCCGAGACGCCTAACGGGCGCCCGGCATACCCGACCACGGTGTATCTACCGCAACATAGCCCACCCCTAGGGTCAGCGCTACGCACGGCCGCCAACACATAACCTACAAACACCAGAAACTATTTGCAACTCCTGGACAGAGTACTAAGGTGATTAAGAAGCCGAGAGGGTCCATTGGTTTCGGGCCCAATGTACGGTAGTAACTGCAACTTAAATCACACATACAGATCTCAGTTCTTAGGGACGGCCTCAATGAAACAACCCACCATGTACTCCTACATGGCCTCTCATCGATACCTTTACCAAAACATGTTCAACACATCCCTCACATTACCGACATAAGCACTTCACTCTAGCCCATCACCCAGATGAACCAGACCTGACACAACTCTAAGCATAGCAGGCATAGCAAGGTAGGAATCACATACATGGCTCAATCAGCTCCTACACATGCTAGTGGGTTTCATCTAGTTACTGTGGCAATGACAGGTCATGCAGAGGATAAGGGTTCAACTACCATAGCACACAGCAGTTTGAATCGCGTTGTCTTAATGCAGTAAACAAGAACAGAAGCGAGAACATGGGTTTGTATCGGAATGATCAATGGTTGCTTGCCTGATGGAGTGGTAGTGGGATACTGCCCTTCGGTTGGATACTCGTGAATATCCTCGGAGGCAGAACCTACCACGAAGAACACATCGGAACACAATCAACACATGACGATATGCAACAATATGATGCATGCTATGACATGGCAATATGAATGTGTCTTGGCCTAATGCAAGTTATAATAGAAAGGAATGAACTCATTTGAATCAAAGATTCAAATATTAGTTCATTAAACATGGCCTTAATAGTGCATTTCCTTATTCTGCTTAAATAGCAAGGTAAACTTGTTTTGTCATGCATGAAACCATTACAGATGGATAGATTGAATTTTTCTGATCATTTTTCATATATAAATCTTTGCATTTGGAGCTATGGTTGATTTTCTATGATTTTTAGAAGTTTTAACTATTTTCTGGAATTTCCTGAATAAAAATAAATCCAGTAAATCAATTACTGCGTCAGCAATGTGTCAGGGTGACGTCAGTGGTCAACGGGGATGTCCAGGTCAAACCTGACTGGTGGGTCCCACGTGTTAGTAGTTAATTAAACTAATTATCTTTAATTAAAACTAATCTGATTTAGCTAACAGAGGGGGCCCACTTGTCATTGACTCAGGGAAGTCAACTGGGCCCACCCAGTCCACGTCAGTAATCAAACCCACCGGTCAACAGGGTTAATCCCGCCGGCGTTGAGTCGCCGGCGAGGCCGAGACGACGGAGGGCTTCGGAAAACGCCCTCAGGCGACCAAAACGACGGCGGAGAAGTGCTACGCGTAGCTGGGGAGCTGCCGCATCCAGTGGTGCAAGTTGTTGGACACGGGGACGTTGGAAACGACACCGGCGAGCTCAACAGCAGCGGCCGGAGTTCGGCCAACGGCGGGTTAGGTGATGCAGGGCGCTAGGGGAGGCGCTGATGTGTGCTACGTGCTCCTGGTGAGGTGTGGAGCACGGTGGTGTGCCCGGCTTCAAGCCACTATGGCTCTGTCCACGACGGCGACGAGGCACGGCACCGGCGAGCTTCGGCCGTGGTGGAAGGTGGAGCTAGGGGACGTAAACGGAGGGGCGAGCACGGGGAAAGAAGTAGGAGCTCACAGGGAGTCTTGTGGCGGTCTCAGCGGGCTCGGGGAGGGGCTGGAGAAGAGGTGCGGTCGCCGGCGATCTCGGATGCCTGAGGTAGAAGACGACGGTGATGGCGGTGCTGCAGGGCCTCCGGCGAAGCGTGGCTCGATGGGGAGGGCGAGGGAGTCGAGGCGGAGCTGATGGGCTCGTCGGATGGGCGAGGGAGGGGCTCTGGTGGCAACTACGGCGATCGGCGGCGAGGGACGCGC